TTAAAAGTTTGTTTCCAGAAAGTTATTGATTTATACGATGTTTCAAAAAAATGAAAATGCACATGATAAAATGATCTTTAAAAATAAAATTATCCTTTCTCATAATTCACTTACTTACTGCAGATAATAATAACATAAAACGATTTGATATAATATCTTATATAGTTATGTGTATAATTTATAATGTATAATAAAATGCATACACATATTAATATAATATGTTGGTAAAACTGGTATAAACACCACGTCTATATAATATTAGGTATATGGTGTAAAGTATACCGTATTTAATTATTATAATACATTAATACACAACACGCATCGATACGGTTACTCACGAATGARGTAGATTATAATATAATAACAGCTGTACTTATTTGCTGATTGAACTTTTTTTTCGGTTTTAGATTCATTTACGATAAAGAGATTTATTTAAAATCATAAAAATYGATAGGCATTGTCTCTTACACTCTGTCTTTAGGTATATAATATATTAATACATTATACTCGAAAAATCAGTTATGTAAACGGTCGACGACTTCGGATTCCGGGAACGTGTATAGTTCGTGTTGGAAACCACGACGAAAACGACTGAGTAAAAAACCAAATAGCCGGAAATTTAGACGCGCTCGGCGAGTACACGCGATCGTCTCGCGACATCTTCAATCGCGCACCGATGCAAAACGGTCTGACGCAACTTACCGTGACTACGGAAACCMTGGTGTATACAACCTATACCTAATTCCAGATATAMCTAATATATAGGTATATTTATAATTTAACGCCTACACTATCGTGGATATAGATGACGCGTTCGCACGAGCCGTTTTTAATCGATTTCCGCCTTGTCAATCTCGCTGAACAAATGAAATACGTAACCACAATATACTCGTATGCGGGTTACACTAGGTCACGACGCGTAGTGGTATGACGWCGATGGCTGCAGTTGTAGCAGTCTATAAAAAATAGCAATAACGCACAAGTGCATTATAAAATACATACGTTATAATTTATGCCTAGGCAAATATTTTTCTAACATAATTGTGCAGGTAATCAATGTGTACCTATTCCATGTTTACCATACACATAGTATAATATTTTGTTATGTATAAACGCRTTTCAAAACAAATCGTTTATTGACAGGCACATATTACAACGACAACAAACTAAGTCTGCAATATTATATCATTACATGTTATATAATTGGTATTTTACGCACTACAATTTATATACTTACAATAATAATTTATCAACAATCATATTAATATTATTATATTACACTATGATAATCACATCACGTATTACTATAGTGATTTACAATCGCTGTCACATTTCGAGCGCTTCGGCCTTTTGCGCGTGATACCCGAGCTCTGGATGCGAACTGTAGTTGTACACTTGCATTTTCCCATCGCTGTCCAGGTATCCGTAATGGCCGTGGACGTTTCCTCCGTTGTCCCTTTCCTCGTACCTGAACTGTCTGTTGGACCTGTTTGGAGACGTTATAATTATATCAATGGTGCCGTGAAAATGATTTAAAATAAATACCCACCCCCCAATTTGTCTGTGTTAATGTGGATGGCCCTCACTATCAAATCCGATTAAAAAAAAAGTAAATAAATTATAAATTAGTCTATCATAAAGATATTCATTCCCCCGTCCCTTTTATTTCAGGAAATAGCTATTCGCTTCGCCACTGGCTTCTATCTTATATTATAATATTATATGTAATAATTATTCACGAAAACATAATATATATATATTATACTATAATAATTTGATCACAATTTTACATTATTAAATTTATAATATGTTCACTGTACGTTACTGAAGCTGTATAATATATTAATATGTATAGATTATAGACAGAATAGCAATATATGTGCGATAACTATAATAATATTATAATCGATGATACCGAGCAGCCGATTGCAAATATGCTGTGAACAGACTTCATTGCTGTTGTGGTAGGCTGTATGCGTGTACTGTGGGGGGGGCTCATAATTGAACTTGTAGTATCGTAATAAATACTATTAAGTATAAACTGAGCAGAATATATTATATATATGTTATATTATGTTGATATTTCGAAATTGTTAATGATTTAATTGAAATGTGTTGTTATCCGTTTCCGAAATACTTTCTAAAAGCTTACAAAATCTTTCGTAGAAATAATTTTAACAAAATATGTATTATGATGATTGACGACTATTATAATTTCGGAA